TCAAGCTTAGTTAAGGATCTGAGAAGCTTTTAAACAAAGATCAGTAGGGTAGTTATCATACTTAATAAAAGTCTAATATTCATTGATTTTTTTTCCTGTGTGTACAACGATATGGCATCCATCATTAATGACATCATAATCTCATTTTAAAACATTTTACTGTTAAAGAAAATCCCCACACTTCTATGGGTAAAATTAGCTTTTTTAAGTTGTAATCTGTTTTGGTTTTTTTTTGAAACAGCTACATTAATCCCTAAAAATTCCACCATGCTGAAAATGTATGGCATGTATTTTCTATAGTAATATGAGGAAAACATGATTAGCTGTGCCAAAGAAATTTTATACATTGTTTACATGAAGAGCCTACAGTACTTATTGGGGACTTCATATGGTATTTTTGTTTATTGTTCTTGAGAAGAGTCAAGAAGAGCTGAGCTTACGACATTCATTCTTTGTATTAGAAATGTAGGAGTGTGGTGGTTTTCTGCAATATTTAGGGGCTTAGTTTCATAATTTGCAATTTAAGATAATAAATAGTAACAAGGCAAGTCTTATATGTAAGACAGTCAAACAGTGTTGCTTCAGGGACAATGGCCTGGAAGCCCTTAAAATAAGTTATCTAAGATGTGCCAGAACATATTCAGAACTTTATTCCTGTAGCTTAAGGCTTCAATAGTTGTAGAAATGCAAATATTCTTGAGAAATGATACATACCTGTTCTCAATTTCTCAATTCTGTAAACCTGATTGTGAATGAAGTATCCAAAGCAGTTTTTCATCAGCATGGGGGATGGAAAGAATAGGTATACTATGAGAACAATGAAAACTCTGGGAGAAGGGAGTGAGAAAATGGATAAGGAGAAATTTGAAAATTTTAGGATGGACTTGAGCACTACTGCTGCTTTCCTATGAACTATCAATCAGTATGTTTAAATGCTTTATCATTCATGATCCACTCTCAACTGACATTTATTTAGTAATTAAAAATGGCTTTTTTCCATACATTTTTATAATGTAGAAGGAAATTCAAGATTCCATAATTGTAAAATTTTTCGGATTGTCTAATGTATAATTTGTGCATCTTAATATGCTGCTAAATGCAGATTTAGACATTACATCTGAGGATCATGACAACTTTTCCTCCTTTCTTGGAGCTCGTTATAAAATTCATCTGCTGTTATGAAATCAGGTTTCTACAGAGTTCACATCACACTAAGGTAGTTTGTTACCATTTGCATGAGGAAACAATGTATGTCTCAATCTTTTAATTTTAGGTGGTAGTGTTTTTTATTCACCCTCCTCCTTGCCCCCAAAAGAATGCTGAATTATATGCCAATATTTCCATGTGTAGTCTGTTGCCTCAATGCGTACTAGTTGCATGTATATTAAAAATTTTGTACTATGCATTGGTGGTCTTATTTTGCTTGACAAAAAGTTACCTGATTTAACTTGTATACCGAACTTTTGTTTCAGCAAATGTGGTAAATATATATTATTTCACACCTAAAATACTAACATGAAAATGAGATGGAAGAAATCCTTATTTCAACTCACATCAAATTAAATATCCTATTTTTAAAAAGTAAAATGATATGTTTTAGATTACACAGCATCTATTGAACCAGCACAGTTTAGTGGTGGTTCTGGTAGTGTTACTTGATTTAATTATAAAATAGTCATGTTTGTTTTCTTACCTGTAAGAATCATCACTATCTTCTTTGCACCTATGAGATGGCATCAGGATGAAGTCAGCATTAAGTGAAATCATATATAAAAAAGTTCTGAAGAGATAAATGCCAAATGTAGGTTACTACTAATTATGATTGGCAGACAAAGTATATCATCAGTTATTTTATTAGATTTACATACTGTTTTTAAGTGGTTATAAATATGTCCAAATTTACAACTTAGAAAACTGCTTTGTTAAAGTTCCTATCATTAGATGAAATGTCCAGATTTTGCTCAACTAATATATTGGATTACCACTGAGGTGTCAAAAGACTGCTTTAAACCTCAGGGCCTTTAAAAAAAATTTTTAAAGCGGTTCATTCTGCTCTTCTGAAAGTAGAGCAGCTTCAATTTAGTTTTAGCATTTGTCATTTTAACTGATAGGAAAGGGAAGATAAAATGACCTCTTTTTCATGGCACATTTTAAAAGTATATTTTAATACAAACCAAAACTTTCAGATTTTAATATAGATCACCTTATCATAAGTCACATTTTCAATACTGCTAGTTATCTTTCCAAAGCCCAAGTCTAACTGTTACAACAGGGTGAAAAAGTCTTTCCTAGGTTTCCCATGGCTTTCTTGTTCCTCCTTTAGTGCACAAGGCCCGTGAGTATATCTCCAATCTGATCTCTTACCACGTTCCCATTTATACACTTTGCTCAAGCCACATGGACTATATTCCACTGCCTTATTGAGACTCCCACTTCCCTGCATGTTTCATAATTGGATTGCCTATCAGTCGAGCTCTTAGGTTTCCTGACCACTCCCCTTCTCTGAACCAGGCTGACTGAACAGCTCCCCGTATTTCCCATGACTCCCTTTGCATGCTTCTATCCATCGTAGCTCTGAAGCTTCCTATGGCCAGTAACAACATCTGAAATGTCTTCTGATCTCCAGTGCTTTTTAAATACTGCTTACTACATACAATGTGCCATTTCTGACAGATTAAAATATAAAAGCAGTAACCTTTCCCTCATCCCCCTCGACCCTTTGATAGACCCCAGTGTGTGCTGTTCCAAGAGAGAAAAATTTAAAAATCATATGCAGTTAAGTAAGCATAGTGAATAATTTTCCTAGAAAAGTTACCTTTTTAAAAAAGTCAAACACGTACGACATTAAAGGTTGCAACCATTGAATATTTAAAATTAAAGATGTTCCTTCTTAACAGTTTTAAGTTTAAGCAATTAAATGTTTATGTTAGAAAATGTAATAGAATAAAAATTCTTTTAGAAACATGACATCACCAAGAACACTGTTGTAGATTACGTTTGCAAATACTGCAATTCCTGCAACACATGTATTGAAAAGTCTGGAAAGCCCATACGGCTGAGAGTTAAATTTGTATACTAACCAAGTATATATAAAAGTATAATGAAGTATAAGTAAAAGTATGAAGTAAAATCTGGAAATATTCATCAGCCAATTATAGTTCAATTATTTTACCAGACAGAACTCTGGGAGCAAATTGAAATTTTAAAAATTTAGCTGTTCCATGGACTGGATTTTTCTAGGTACTTTTTTAATTAAAAAATTAAGTTATTATTATGACAAAATGCTGAACCCTTTTTGGTTGCTAATATATTTTTAAAGTATTAATGTTTCTTTACCTCTTAAGTATAAAGAAAGCTTCAATTCAGCCTTCTTTTCATCCAGATACATTGCATGTAATATGTGTTAGAAAAACTACTAGGCAATTAGATATATGTACCTTAATTTATTCATAAATAAGAATTTTTCTCAAGTGCAGTTAGGGGTAGGAGACATGGAAACATTTCTCATAGGTGATATTAAACTAAAATATGTAACTGCTTTTTGGGAGTACAATATTAAGTTTATCTGCTTTTTTCTATGAATTATCCATAAGCATAGCAAAACTAAGATAAATTTAATATTGTTAAAGAGCACTGTTCAAGATAAACTTTCATATATATATATATATATATATATCACAGTACAACATTATATAATGATTTTATATAAAAGTATTCAGAAGCACAGTGATGATTTTAAGAAGACATAAAACATTAATGAAATAAAGTCACGAATATTTATAGGGCTATGTTGCAAATTTAACGTAAATCAACATAGGATAAAATAATAACATTAGATTACATACAAACCCTACATACTTCATTTCTGGTGAAACATACAAACACTTTCCTACTATAGTACAAAATCAATTAATTCCTCAACCAGTACTAAAGAAGGCTTGTCATCTAAATATATTCATTTTAGGGGAGAAAAAAATGCTTCAAACATTCCTAAAATAAACAAAGACTGCAATAAAGTGTTTTTAAAAAACAGGATATAAATCCTAAGAAAATAAAACTAAAGTATAAAAAAATGAATACCATTTCTTTTCCTGCCATCATATCCTTTAACTCATTCCTACATACAATCATAAGCTAAATTATTTAGGTATGTACAGTGACTGAAAGCAGTGTCTTCAAGGAAACAACTTCTTGTTTAGCCTCTACCATACTAAGTATAAAAATAAAAGGGCATTTCAGAAATATTTTGTAACTATTATTGTAGCAATAATCTCTAACTTGTTAGAACAAGGCAATAAAAATGACCTAAAGAATTCCAGGAACAATGATAGCTGGATTACAAGATGGCTAAAAATCAAAGGCTATTCCTGTGTGCAAACAATTTTTACCAGTGTAAAACCTATGTGGTTTTCCATTGAACACCAAAGTTTGAAGTGAAAATCTTCTACTATCAGTAAGAATCTCCCTTACAGGAACAGTAGAAATACAGACATTTAGTCATCAAAAATGGCAGAATGTACATCACACAAAGGATATTATGGTTCATAAAGAAAACAGCCACAATTTTGATCAGAGAAATCTTAATACACGTGAGGCCTTACAACAGCAATGGTGGGCGAGTGGGGAGCGGGGAGGTGGAAACCTAATGCATTTGAATTAATGGAAAACAGGCAATATTTGGTAAATGTGAACAATGCTATTTAATAACTGCTTTATCTACTGAAATACGGAAATACCTATGTACCTGATTTAAATGTGCACAAAACTTGGGCTTTTTTCTTCTAGACTCTACATCATTTGGCACACATTTCTGGTGTATTCAACACACTCTCAATAAGATTACATTACACTGAAACGTATAATATTAAACTCTCAGAGATTGTTTTTGATGCTCAGCAATTTTTCTTATTTTTACAAGAATGCTCAATGATTGTGACTTCTAGAATATCTTTTTCAATATCAGCAAAAATAGGATAAAATTTATTTTTAAATTACGATTAAGAGGTAGAGCTGAAATTATTTATTTAAATTATAGGAAAGAAAGACATAAAATCATTATAAGAAAATAATGGTGAAAAACATTCTTGCCTAAGTCTCCACCTTCTTTGGGCTACAGTTGTTATATCAAGTTGAAACAGCATTACTAGTATTGCTGCCTTCGAACATTTCGTTTCTGGAAAAAAGCCTTTCCAAATTCATACGTACTGATCATAATGGCACAAGCAGGAGCAATTTTAATTAAGCGAGGAATTAGGCCTGAAAAAAGAATAGGAACAATCAGAACAAATATTTTTTCTTATTTTAAAAAACATAATTTATTTGGCTTTATTCTGATAATGGGTAAATAAAATAATATGTTAAATCCATTAATTGGTAGAAAAGGTAAGACTGCTCACCCCCAACCTCCTCACTTCAATCCATATTACATTATAGAGAAATGTTTATCTTATTGACAGTAAATTTGTTATTTAACATTTATTTTAACTTATAACAAAGACATTTAGGAGAAAATAGATGTATCATGTTACTTATAACTTCCTCCTATAAGTTAGTTTTAGAAGATGATAGGTTTAAAAAGTATTTATTCTATGCTTCAGTAAAGCAATTATTTTTACCTGAAAATAATCCAGAAAATCCATTCTTAGCAACAATATTCTTCATTATAACCCAGGTTGACATATGCAAAGGCACAGAAACTAAATGTTAAAGAAATAATGCTATTATAAGTAACAATTTAATAATTCCTAATATAGATAACACACATAAAGTAGTGTTCATGGCCCTGGGGTATTTCATTTCATTATAAGAAGAAAAGGTTTAACTAAAATGCTACTTTAACTTTTATTTTTAATAGCTAGATTCATTAAAAATTAAAAAAAAAAAAGGCTGCATGTTTAAAGATGTATAGGACTGGATACAATTAAGGAGGAATATACAGAGGATTTCTCCTGACTTGATAATGCTTGTTTCTTAAACTTGATGGTAGTATTTTTTAAACTTTTTCTAGATCTTAAACATTTTTTATAATGAAATTTTTAAAAGATGTATACACAGTTACTTGGGAGGCTGAGGTGGGAAGATCTGTGGAGCTTAAGACTTCAAGACCAGCCTGGGCAACATAGCAAGACCCCCATCTCTTAAAAAATGTATAGAAATCTTCATGAGGTATCCAATGCCAAAGAGAAGTCCTGACAAACATTTTTCGTTCTTATTTTATTATACTTATAAAACTTTTTAGCCAGGCACGGTGGCTCAAGCCTGTAATCCCAGCACTTTGGGAGGCTGAGGCGGGTGGATCACGAGGTCGAGAGATCGAGACCATCCTGGTCAACATGGTGAAACCCCATCTCTACTAAAGATACAAAAAATTAGCTGGGCATGGTGGCACGTGCCTGTAATCCCAGCTACTCAGGAGGCTGAGGCAGGAGAATTGCCTGAGCCCAGGAGGCGGAGGTTGCGGTGAGCCGAGATCGCGCCATTGCACTCCAGCCTGGGTAACAAGAGCGAAACTCCGTCTCAAACAAAAAAAAAAAACAAAAAAAAAAACCGTTTTTTTTCTAACAAGAGTTTCTGAGGAAAATAGCTCATTCTCCCTAGCAGTGCCTTGAGTTATATTACTACTCTTATAAATTGATATGCTTATTCTTGAAATAAATTAGACCAGTGCTGTCTCCTTCAAAGAGTTTATTTTGGCTAACAATAACATCTCACTTATTTGCAACCACTCAAATATCTGGAAGCAAATGAATAAAAAACTATTTTTTAAAAAACTTAGCAAAAGTAGATGTCACTGAAGTACAAACATAAAGCTTATGAATATAATGTTTGTACGCAAAGTTTGTTTACTTTCATTTTACACAGTACTCTAAACAGCTGCCTTGGCCCAGAGACCCCTAGATGCAATAAGCTAAATAAGAAAAATTGTAAGAAGCAGTCATACTACCATGTAAACAATATGACAGCTCACAGGATGAAGATTTCAATGTCTTGTTTTGAGACCAGCTGGATGATGGGCAAACAATCCTATATTGTCTTCTCTAGCTTTTGAGCCCTTCTACTCTACAAAAATTAGTGTTTACATGGAAGACAACCCTGAATCGTTAAAACAGATTATGTACCACTAGGAAAGCCTGGGAGAGACAAGTTAAGATTATAAAACGGTATCTTTCAAAAATGACTTTTAAAAATGTTGCCACTTAATATTGAGAGTGAGTCATTATTTCAAAATTCCTTTGTATATCAGAATCTCTGACTATGAAGATAAATGAAGCCTTATGAGTTATTTAAGAAGCTATAGTAGCAATATAAATAGTATAAGCATAAACATAATAACTATAGCAGCCCAACACTGATCACAAAATATGAATGAAGTTTAACTTTCTAAAGAAAGTCAATGAAAAGAACTATATACTGTAAGTTGGCAATTTTTACTTCATGTTTAAATTATTTCATTTAAATTTCGGAAACTGGTCAAAGAATGGTGATCAAGTAGCAGGTGTTTCTAATCTTGTAGAACTAACACCCCAAACTAGTCTCTATTTTAACAGAATGGTGAAATTAAGAGAATAACAAAGAGTATCAAATGAAGGTAAGCCAAGCCCTACTGGAACCTCGGAAGTGTCTCCGAACTTTTCAGTGTTGAAGACCTATTCCTACAGGTAATAAGCAAATTCTTACACTGTAAAGAAACACTTTGATTATTAAATATTTCAAGCTTACAAAGGCTCATTTACTGAACAGCCAAATTTATTATATCATAATACCTGAATCTTTCAGATTCAGTTGAAGTCTGCTATATGTTCCTCCCCAATTTTATTTTTCCTCCTCTTCAAAGATAATCACTCTCTTTTTTCATCTGTCTCATGCATTTGCTCAAATTTTTACAACTGAACATATGAGATGTATACTCTTCTTTGTATACATCTGGAATGTACAGAACAATGTATACTCTTCTTTGTCCTCCTTTTAAACTTTATATAAATGATATTACACTGCACACTTACTTTTGCAGTATACTTTCAGGATTATCTATGTTGGTAAGTATACCTATATTTTATTCATTTTAATTGCTCTATTGTATTGCATTATATGCATTATGATTTGTCCATTTTCCTGTCAAGGGACATTTAGGTGATTTCTAACTTTTTGCTATTTTTAAGAATCTTGCCATGGATATCCTTGTACATGTTTAAAAGTTTCTCTAGGACACATATCTAGCAGTGGAACTGATAACTCAGAATGCACTCCTTGTTACTGCCAGTCTGTTTTCCAAGTAGCTGTTCCAAAATAATACTCTTACCATCACGGTATAAAGTTCCCAGTAATCCACATTCTCCCCAACAATTTAATTTATATGAAAATAGAAATATAATATAGAAATATTGAAATACAGAAAAAATAGTCTTAACTATTAAAACCAGTGTAGTAAATATTTTTAAATCTATTAAATATTATAATTTATATTTTAAAATGTTTAAAAATTAAATATTGCTTGAGTAGTGCTTCATTTTTTTTTCTATAGTTCTGTTGTCCAGTTAAGAATAGTGTTTTAAGGCCGGGCGCGGTGGCTCAAGCCCGTAATCGCAGCACTTTGGGAGGCCGAGGTGGGTGGATCATGAGGTCGAGAGATCGAGACCATCCTGGTCAACATGGTGAAACCCCGTCTCTACTAAAAATACAAAAAACTAGCTGGGCATGGTGGCATGTGCCTGTAATCCCAGCTACTCAGGAGGCTGAGGCAGGAGAATTGCCTGAACCCGGGAGGCGGAGGTTGCGGTGAGCCGAGATCGCGCCATTGCACTCCAGCCTGGGTAACAAGAGCGAAACTCCGTCTCAAAAAAAAAAAAAAAAAGAATAGTGTTTTAAAAGATTAAATATGTTCAGAAAAGAAGTTTAACCTCTGGAAAACAAGTAAATTTGGGCCAGGTTTAAAAAGCTGAAACCAGAGATTAAATTTTTTTTAATGAATAATATATGATACATTCATAAATTAGGTAAAATTTATCTCTGTTATAGAATATGGCACTTACTACATGCTAACATGCTTCTGAATGCAGCCTCTGTACCAGTAGATTATGAGATCTTTGAGGATTTGTATAATTGCCTCCTTTATCTGTATATACCAGCATGGTGCCAAAGTATATGCACTCGACTAATGAATGAAGAATGGAAGAAGTGGTCTAAGTAGGCTGACAGATCATATGCTTGAAAGGAATTATTATTCTAGAGTATGATAGATGCACACTTCATATTTCCTTTTTTTGCTTAGTGAGAAGGGATTTGGTATAGCTGAGCTGTGGAATAATGAAGGAAGCCACTTTTTTTTTTTTGGGGGGGGATGGAGTCTCACTCTGTTGCCCAGGTTGGAGTGCAGTGGTGCGATCTCAGCTCACAGCAACCTCCCTCTCTTGGGTTCCAGAAAAGCCACTTCTAAAGGGAGCTGAGTTACTTCTTGGGGATAAATAATGTAAATCCAAATAGTAAGTATGGACTGTTTATCACTCAAATCACAAGTGCAATTTGCAACTGCAATATATCTCAGTAAACTTTTAAGTAACTGGTTCATAGCTGAAGTAGCTAACGGATTAAAATTTACCAATGACAATCATGGAAAATTAAAACCCAATTCTTATTTAAGATTTTTCCTTTTAGGTTTAAATGAGGAAACATTAATTGAAATAACCAGTGACAGATAAGAATTAAATCTAAGAATGAAAGATGGCTCCCTAGTGTCTCAATGAAGATATGTATCTATCACAATCACTTAGGGATCATTTTCAAAACATACAAGCTAGAGTTCCACTTCAGATTCATTAAATGAAATTTCTATTGAGGGTAATGTCCAGCTTTAGCTATATTGAAATAAGCACCTCAGGTGACTCCAATGATTAGTTACCAAGGTAAGATGCTCCCAAACTTTAGTGTGCATTAGAATCTACCTGTACATATTCCCATCTTCTCCCTTATCAACTACCATGACCACCACCACCTCAATGCCACAGTTATTAACTGTTTATGCTAAATTACACCAAAGATAAATTGGTGATATCCTACTATATTAAATATACTTAAGAGAGGAAATGGAAATTCTGATGAGAAGAAAAGAGAATGAAACAAAATAATTTTCAATTGTCAAAGAAGGACAGATAGGGCTTAGGTTTCTAGAAGGCTCATGCCTAAAACAGAGAAGTGGGAGAACCCTAACATAATAAAACTGTGATTACCTCCTAGGTTTTCATTAGCTTCTCATAAAAGAGGTATTTGGTAATCAAAGACAAAGATGTCACCAATATCCATCAGATTCATTTGCAGAGGCCTGTAACCAGCTTCTTTCAACATTATAATACCTATTTTAGTTTTTATGCAAACTATTATAATCATGCGTTAGAACAATTTATGTACATTATAATAGTCTTATCACAAGACTTACATAATTTTGCAATACACAATTTCCCATGGGTTTACTATACTTTCTGAAGGGATGACAAAGGGGATTCTAGTAGAAGCAAATAGGAGTATACTTATATTCTAGAAGAAATGACAGGTTATGAAGAAATAAAAATAGATGGAATAATAGGTCGAAGAAAATCAAAAGAAAGCTTAAAAACAAAATGTATATATATACTAACAAAAAAAAAAAAAAAGAGAGAGAGAGAGAGAGAAAAGGTTTCCCAGTAATCTCCTATCCTTTATTCTGATTTGTCTAGATTTATTTTATTGGTTTATTTGAAAGAAGACTCAGGAGGACAATGAAAATAGTAATTTGAAACAGATGTGAAAACTGTAGGAAAAACAAACATAAAACAACTTAGCTTTTAAATGACAAAGGTTATTTCTTCTTTATCATAGGTATGAGACTTAACTGATGGCATTAAAAAAATATTAGACTTTACATTTTCTTAAATTTTTGTTTTTGTTTAGAGTATTTTTTCTGGGCATTCCATTCTAACAGTATATTCAGTTAAATACACAAAGAATAATGCAGAAGAAAAAAACATTGTTTTCCTATTTTAGATTTTCCTAATAATATCTGGAAGGAAAAACAAAATGGCATCTTAAAAATGTTTTAAATTAATTAAACTTACTTTTACAACTTTCATACGTCCAAAGTTGTGTCTGCTTTTGTGTTTTTACTACATCAAATGGTAAAGTTACAACAGCTGCAAACTATCAGAAAGTAAAATAGATTAAATTTCAATCAACCTTTTAATTTTTCCTAAAATATTTTTACATTCTTCTAATTAATATATTTAATAAGGATAATGAAAATCATAACTAAGCTTTAAAATAAAATCTTTTTAAAAAAGTTTTCCTAAAGCAAACAGATATGTAGTTCTCACTATACTCAGAAGTAAAAAGCCTCAGCAAAATTCTCTTACTTTCCTGAGGTCACATAGCTACTAGTTGCAGAGCCACAATTCCAATCAGACCTCTTTGACTCCAATACCAACATTCACAATTTACCATGCTCCTTTGTGTTCTATTATTTCTTTACGTAACAAGAAGGTACAACACTTACGTCAAAAGCAGAAATTCTTAAGTATCTAGTAAGCATTTTAAAATTTCCAGCAAATTTTTTTAATAGAAAAATTAAATTTAAATAAAGAAAATGAATTTTGAACTTTTAGCCCTATAAACCTTTTAAAATATGTATCATTATGTAAATATTTACATATTAAAATATAGTTACAATGGTTCACAAATCACATTTTTTCCTATTAATGATAAAAGCTGGATGCAAATCCCATTTTAAAAAACTTTTCTCAAAATAATTCACATTTATTTCCACAACGCCTTAAGGGAGATTTAAAAAAATAATTTAATTCTTTCAAATATGTTTTCACAATATTTGATACAACAGCCATGCAAGGTTAAAACTGGTATTTTTTTGCCTCCCAACTCACATTTGGCCAGTATGCTCATAAAATGCCCCTTAAAATCACTTATATTTTATTTCACCCCAACAATTTGTTGATTTACCTTCCTGAAATTAGCTTTGAAGATTTCAGGTAAGGTACAGTCAATGATTGTTTCTGCATCTTCATAATCTGTCACGTAGTAGCTACAATGTTATATGAACCACTTCTGAAACTTTTTTTTTTTTTTTTTTTGAGACGAAGTTTCGCTCTTGTTACCCAGGCTGGAGTGCAATGGCACAATCTCGGCTCACCACAACCTCCGCCTCCTGGGTTCAGGCAATTCTCCTGCCTCAGCCTCCCAAGTAGCTGGGACTACAGGCACGCGCCACCATGCCCAGCTAATTTTTTGTATTTTTAGTAGAGACGGGGTTTCACCATGTTGACCAGGATGGTCTCAATCTCTTGACCTCGTGATCCACCCACCTCGGCCTCCCAAAGTGCTGCGATTACAGGCTTGAGCCACCGCGCCCGGCCGAAACTCTTTTTAAAATGAGGTGGTTTATGCTGTTCTTTTTTCTGAGAGAAAGCCTGGACACTCACATTCTGGTGTTGTTTCTATTGCAGAAACAAACCTTTATTTCAAAACTGTCAAAAGCCAGCAATTTTCTAGATCATTTAAAAAAAAATAAATAAATTTTCTAGGTTAAGTAGAAATATTACAGTAGAGAACTTTCTTTCCTATTTCTGCAAAACTAGTACAATATTCTAAAGCTGTTATTCAACAACACTAATTGCTTTTTTCACTCAATAGGCTTATAAACCACTAGGATTAATTTGACAGATCTTTGACCTGGGAATATTTAGATCTAAGTTTTAAAGTCAACTGCAGTGGCTTCCTTGGCCTAGAATTTCTGAGATATTATTCTACAAATTTTCTACAAATCTTGATCACTTCACTCTGCTCCTTCACTATTGTTTTTATGTAGTTCCAGTGTGCCACTGTACAAGTTATTACAAATTCATTTTTGGAAGTATGTGGGTATTAAAAAAACTATTGCCAACATCATAGTGATATAAATCTACATAAAGAAAGTCTACTACAAGACTTTCATATCATTCTACAAGGACGTGTGGGGAAAGATGAACTCTCTAGTACCCAAAAATGGTAATTTAAGATTCCTTCCTTCTGATTGTAATTTTTGTTCAAATTCTTTTTAAAAGTACTTTAATAGGACAAAATGTTTCCGAAGAAACAGGAATCAGCAGCAGAGGCTAGAAGTGCTTAATGCATATGAGATAACATTGCATGAAATATTACCTAATCAGAGCATTTATTAATTTATTACAAAATGCTCTAAACAATAAAGCTCTAAAATATAATTGCAATAATCTAAAAAATCCAAAAGCTTCTCATAAAAATATAATGTATTTGTGAAATCATAAAAACATAAAATATCAGTATATTTAATTATTTTATTTGCTAGTAATTTCTTTGCTTAAAATAGATGGAAGATACAAAAAAAAATTTTAAAGCAGTGCAGTCAAAGAGGATCTCAATATACATGACATACTATATAGTATTTTGTTCTATTTTAATACAACTATTATTTTTCTGGAATATTAACAACAAAAGAATAAACTTACAGAACCAGACAATGCCCCTGAAGTGAAGTTGATCATAAATGTTGGCTCATATAAACCAGATTTCTCACATAACCACTTCTTTAAAATTTCATAGTTATACCAGTACATTGCTATAAAAACAGAGAATGAAATGAACACATATTTAGAAATGTGGATTTTAATAAAAAAGTTATGAGGTTATATATTCAGGGATACAGAAATTCTAAACTTGACATGCCTTGCTCTCTGCTTAAGACACCCACTGGGTGGTATTCTTTTTTTTTAAAGCAAAATTCTCAGTAATATTCTAGTATAAACAAAAAACTATGCAGCAATCAAGTAGGACTATAATTCAAAAACCTGACAAGGACAACAAGACAAAGGAAAAAAGTAAAGGCCAATCTATTCATAAACATAGGCAAAGACTTCCTAAAAATAAAAATAGAAAACGAACTGATGTCAGAAGTATTTCATAAAATATCATACATACACTATGATTAAGCTGGGTTATCCCAGAAAGGCAAAGGCATATAATAAAAATCTTTAAATGTCAGATTACCATTAAGAAAATCACGGGATCATGTAATTATAATGAAAAAGCATCTCATAAAACTCAATACTCTGATTTAAAATAAGCAAATTCTTAGAAACCTAGAAGAAAACTTGTTTAACTTGATAAAGAACATGCATCAAAAACCTATACCAAAAATAATTATTAATGGTAAAAGAGATCTATTTTCTTTAAAATAGGAAAAATGATGGGGATGTTCATTATTGTCACTAGAATTCAAAAATGCACTGCACAGTGAGAAAGAAAAGTTATGATTAAAAATGATATAAAACAGTTATAATTTACATTTTATATATATACATACATGTGTGTATGTGTATGTATGTATGTATGTGTGTATACACACACACACACAAAACCAAAAAGACAGTAAGACAAAGAAGAATTTATAACAGTCTTAAAACATAGCTGGATTCAGGCTAACAGACAAAAATCAATTGCAACTGGACCAGCTACAAGATTTAGAGCACATAATTTTAAAAAATTAAAATGGAGCTTTAATAGCGACCAATATTTGGGGGGCAGTGTGGTGTACCTATAACCAATGTCAAAAAAGAAAAAAGAGAGATGAATACAACCTTAATGAAGAAAAATTTAAATCTCTCCTAAAACAACTTGTTAAAGAGTATTATTAACATAAAGAGATCACATTCCTAGAGAAGAAAAGGTGACATCAAGATTTTTCTTAGCCAAGCATGGTGGCAAATGCCTCTAGTCTTAACTACTCAGGAGGCTGATGTGGGAGGATTACCAGAGTCTATGCTAGAGTCTTGCAGATATCACAAAGCTACAGTGAGCCATGATTGGGCCACTGCACTCCAGCCTGGGCAACAAAGTGAGACCACCCCCCGCCAACAAAAAGAAAGATTTTTCATAGAGCACTAATCAGTATGTTACTAGCCTGAAGTTGGAAACATTAATCAGTAAAATAGATTCATGCATACATGGAAATGTTAAATAACAGAGACGACACTGCAGATCCCTGGAGCAATTATGGTTATTCAATGTATCAGGGGTCTGCAACCCCAGGGCAGAGGAGTGGTACCAGTCTGTGACCTGTTAGGAACTGGGCTTACACACCAGGAGGTGAGCGGCAGGTGATTGAGCATTACTGTCTGAGTTCCACCTCCTGTCAGATCAGCAACAGCAAGAACTCTATTGTGAACTGTGCATGTTAGAGATCTGGGCTGCATGCTCTTAAAAATTTAATGCCTGATGATCTGAGGTGGAACAGTTTCTTTCTGAAACCAATCCCCACCAATACACACATACATACACACACACACACACACACACACACAGTTTTTCCAAGATTTCAATTGGAAAAATTGTCTTCCATGAAACCAGTCCCTGGTGCCAAAAAGGTTGGGGGAATCACTGCAATAGGTGATACTGAGACAACTAGCTATCCATTTGGGAAGGAAATGAAACTGAAAACCTGTTTCAGTTCAAAACCTCAAATCAATTATGAATAAATGAATGCCAATGAAACAGTGCCCAATCTTATTAATAACCAGAGAAATGCAAGTTAAACTGAGATACCACTTTAAATTACTAAATAAAAATTAACAACTTTGGCAATAAAATGTTGGCAAGGGTGTGAATCAGCAGAAAATCTCATACATTGCCAATAGGTATGTAGATCATATAATCACTTTTAAAAAGAGTTAAATTTGAAATATATATTTGTATATGAACCAACAAATCCAACAGGATAAACTTTCAAAGGTGCACCAAGAAACTATTTAAAAATTTTCATAGCATCATTGTTTGACTTGTTTACTCACATATAAATGAGTAAAAATGAAGAAAACAGTTACATGTAACACAAGAATGAATCTTAGGAAAATTTTTTTAGGAAAATGGGATTTTCAAAAATAGGCAAAATTAAATAATATGATGTTTAGCAAAAAATAAGTATGTGGGAAAACTAATTTTTTAAATCAAATGAATGACATTCAATACAGTGGTTACCACTGGGGCTGTGACAGTGAATGAACATATCTGTGTTTTCATGATTTTTAAAACTTATGTATGTTCTTGAGTTTCTCTCTAAATAAGTATTTCTTTTGTGTCTTAAAAACTTCTATGACTCACAGGGAAATGCCACTAAAGTATGCACATTCTATAAGTTGTTGGTAGATTTGTACTTCTCACTTTTCGTAACTTTCTCCCTTTTCATAATTGAGTGATTAGTATAATCGCCTACTTGATTTGCAATAGTCTTTTAGAGGATAATCATTTAATGTGGAGATGTTTATTTTTAATAACTGAAAAAGTAGGAGCAGCTGGCCGCGGTGGCTCATGCCTATAATCCCAGCACTTTGGGAGGCTGAGGCGGGTGGATCACGAGGTCAATCTATCGAGACCATCCTGGTCAACACGGTGAAACCCCGTCTCTACTAAAAATACAAAAATTAGCTGGACATGGTGGCGCACACCTGTAGTCACAGCTACTAGGGAAGCTGAGGCAGGAGAATTGCTTGAACCCGGGAGGCAGAGGTTGTGGTGAGCCGAGACTGCGCCATTGCACTCCAGCCTGGGTAACAAGAGCGAAACTCCGTCTCAGGAAAAAAAAAAAAAGAAAAAGTAGAAGCACATATAATTCCAAAGTGGTCTTAAATGGATTCTATCCTTTGATTCATAGTTTTACTTATCTTACTAATCACTTAGAATAATATTAAATGAGTTACTTAGAATGTTAAAGGTAACTTGCATTATCTGAATATTAATACCAATAAATAATGTATAAAAACAAATTAATTGCAAGAGAAAAAAAAGCCAGGCTTGAATAAAAAAGTATTCATTCAATAAAGGATTGTAAAGATCTGAGAGCGCAACAACAAGGAAAAAGGAGTTGTTGTTACTACACTTCAGAAAAGAACCTTTTTTTTTTTTTGAGATGGAGTCTCACTCTGTCACCAGGCTGGAGTGCAGTGACACAATCTCGGCTCACTGCAACCTCCATCTCCCAGGTTCAAGCTATTCTCCTGCTTCAGCCTCCTGAATAGCTGGGAACCACTAATTTTTGCATTTTTAGTAGAGATGGGTTTCACCATGTTGGACAGGATGGTCTCCATTGCCTGACCTTGTGATCTGCCCGCCTCAGCCTCCCAAAGTGCTGGGATTACAGCCATGAGCCACTGCACCCGGCCAGAAAATAACATACCTTTAAAGGTAAAGAGCTAAAAATCTAGTGAAAGTAATATACAAATAAGACAAAGTTATGTAAAATTTAGTAGCTACAAATAAAATAAATCCTACCTGAGAAAGGTACATCTCTAAGAACAGTAGAAGCCCAGCCCCTCCAAAGGGAAATCCAACCATCTTCAGACACTTTCTTGCTGACAAATCGATGGAGTTCCATGTAAGAAAACTTCTTAGACTGCATCTTGGTTCTAATCAATTCTAGTGGACTTATCACAGTTACTGCACCAACTAATTCAAACAAGTTAAAAACAAAAACAAAGCCATGTAATGTGCAAACACATATACTGTAAAAGTTAATATTCATGTATTTTATGACATTTTAAACCTTTATTCTATAATGTCTGAAAACCTTACAATTAAATATCTAATGATGTCAACATAATTGATACAGATTTTTCCCTTGATAAAGTATTTCTTAAACGTCTATTTTTATATGCCTTACTTTTTCTGGTTTCAACTCTCTCAAGGAAAGTTCCAGAAATATTATAATCAACTAGAACTATTAACCAAAGCCCACTCCAGTTACTGCCCCAGTAAATCTCACTACTATGTAGCAGAGAAAATGCTCTTCTGTATAGAGGCAACTTTCCTTATAACAAAACTCTGAATCCCAAAGTTTATAAGGAAAGTGATTCAGGACTTTGGCCTGAATCATGCATGATCCCAGATGACAATTCAGTTCAGGTGAATCAGAACCAGTGCTGATGTCACTCTAAAAACTCTGTCTATGATTTGACCAAGATAGGCTAAGGCCATCTCATTCTGATGGCAATCATTATTCCATAGGACTTCTGGAGTATCTATACAATATTAACAAATTAATACAAACTACAGTGAAAAATACATCATACTAATACTCCATATATTATACAAATTATCTATAAGTGTCAGAAATTAACTAAAAGCTCTAAACAGAAATCAAAATGAAAATAAAGATTTATTACTCACATCTGGCTACAATTCCAGCAACAATTGGTATGCAGGTTTTATTTTCTCCTAACTTAGATCTCAGAAGAGCAGTTAATTGATCATAGCAGGTAAAATAGATAACTGTGGCAGGAACTGCCATCACTCTGTTAGATTGCACAAAAAGATTTGTTCAAAATTATCAAAAGACCCCACATAGTCTTAACTTAAATCCAAATATTATTATATAAGCTAGAAATCCCTTATATTTTGTATAAGCTAAAAACCACAACAAATCTGCCTATGAGATCAATTTATTTTTATTTTAGAAATGGTTAGTACTTAACTTAGTAGGCAGTAAAAAGATATAAAATAGGCATTTGCCATCCAAAAGTTTACATTCTAGTTGTGAAGACAGTTATAATATACAGCAATAAGTAAGTGCTAGCATGGTGGCACATGCCTGTATTAACAGCTACTCAGGTGGCTGAGGAATGAGAATCACTTGAACTTGGGAGGCAGAGGTCGCAATGAGCCAAGATTATACCACTGCACTCTAGCCTAAGGGACAAGCAAGACCCTGTCTCTTAATAAATAAATTAATTAAATTAAACAAATAGGAAAAGACAAATTAGGACAGACACTTCATCTTCTTAACTTGTTCTGGTTTCTGGTCTCCCAGATCTTCTTTCTCATTCATAATTACCATAACATCAGAATTAGTGAAATAAAAAGTAAATGAGAAATTGTAAAACATTTTTGAACTGTGGATCATATATCACTCCTGCTTGTAACTAGACATAAATTATAATTAACATCATCAGAATTACATACACTAATTTTAAGGGAATTCTAATGACATGCTATTTTAAAAGAAAATATTAAAAGGGAATTATTAAATTCAAACTCAAAGTTGCAGGTACTGTCATCTCAATAAATCTTAATACATCAAGAAACTAGTCCATGTTGATGATATAACTAAAGGACATTCACATACCATAGTTTGGAATGCCTAATGTTCTATGGTGAACTTTGCTGCTGAGAATTTAGGAGCAGGACTGAATGGGAAGGGTCTTGGATCTGCCACTAACTTTAAACCTTAAGCATGGTTTAAAATCAATCCCTCAAATTGACTAACATTCTCCATTAAAATCAAAGTTCTTGGGAATAAATGAGACAGCAAAAGCCAAGGTATTATTTTAGATTTTTACATTCAACATTACAAGTTTATCATATTAATTCAAATAACTGCTAGTTAGTAGAGAATTAGAATTATCTGGAGAAAGTAAAGCATACATATTACAATATATCACACAGCTTTAGTAAAATGAACAAATAAACACCAAAGCCTTTATTTCTGAACATGAAAAAAATAACCATATGCTTGTGTAGCAAAGAAAACACAGCAGGCTTGGTTGCTCAAACCTTGTATAACTTCAGGTGGGCCTATGTGCATGCCTGATCTCTGGACAACTCATGGGAATGTATCCCCTGCAGTGTTCCCTATTAGGTTTTTGTGTATCTGAAGCACTAAACCAACTTGTCTAGGGTTACTTGTACACTGTAATTTATGGTAAACTTCCTTCCTTCTGGGGCTTTGAAGTTTTGCTCATCACAACTGGCCTCAAAGAGAGAATGTACCTATTTAAACCACACTCAATAAAAGCCCCACACTCAAAACTCAAATGGGTTTCCCAAGGCAGAAGCACTTTGTGTACCTAGAACCTCACTGATAGAAGGATAAGAATATCCTGTACAATGCCTTAAGGGAGGACTTCGGAAGCCTATTTCTGGACAACTCCTGATGTGCCTTTTTCCCTTACCAATTCTGTTTTGTATCCTTTTGCTGTGATAACGTGTATCTGTGAATATAACCTCCTCAGGTCCTGCAAGTCCTTCTAGTACATCATCAAACATGTGGGTGGCTGTGAGACTTAAAAAACAATACCTCAGAAAATGAAAGTGTTACAATATCAAAAATGCAAGACTTTGTCCAACCATGCTGATTATAAGATAAAATAACAAACAATATTTAGTAGAAAAAAAAACATTAAATTTCAACTTACAGGGTAGGAGGAAGGCCACTCCACAGAGATTTAATGCCCTCATTTCGAATGATTTTTAAAAAGGCGTCCTAAAATTATAAAAGAAAAAAAAGTGATCAAAATATATCTTTCAACCTGACATACAAAAACGTATAGTGATGACTGGTAATTTGATTCTTTCAGGTATTTCTATCTTAAAAAAAAAAACCTTTTTGGATTCATTTATGTCCATTCTTTTTAAAAAGGGAACTTTAACACAATTAAAATGAAGATTTCTGGATGATACTAACTTCTTACAGAATGAAGTCTATATTAGCTCTAGATTGTTCTACTAACAGCTTAGAAACAAAACTTTTGAAAAGATTATTAGAAGAAAGGAAGTAGAGCAACAGCAGAAAACTGGTTAAACTCTGCTAAATAGGAAATCAGAGAAAATATCCAAGTGTGCTATATGAAATCTTTTGAGAGGAACCAAAAGTAGACAGAGCTGAAGAGAAGTTTCCTATTAACAGATATACTCTTATAATTTGATTTAAAAAAAAAAGATTAAATAATTTAAAATTGGCTAAGGATTTGAATAGACATTTCTCCAAAGAATACATACAAATGGCCAACAGTTAGCACATGAAAAAGTGTTTGGCTGCATGCGGTGGCTCATGCCTGTGAACCCAGAACTTTGGAAGGCCAATGCAGGAGACTGCTTGAGCCCAGATGTTCAAGATCAGCCTGGGCAATATAGTGAGACCTTATCTCTACAAAAAATTTAAAAATTAGCTGGGCATGGTGATGTACACCTGTGGTCCCAGCTACTCAGGAGGCTGAGTGGGAGAATTGCATCAGCACAGCAGGCAGAGGCTGCAGTGAGCTGAGATCATGCCACTGCACTCCAGCCTGGGCAACAGAGTGAGACCCTGTCTCAAAAAAAGAAAAAAAGATAAAGAAAAAATGTTCATCATTAATCATGATGAAAATGCAAAGCAAAATCACAACTGGGATGTCTCCTCATATCTACTAAATAAGCTAAAATTATAAAGACAGACAATAATAAATCCTGGTGAAATGTGAAGAAATTGAAATCCTCAGATACTACTGGTGAGAATACAGAATGGTGTAGCTACTTCGGAAAACAGTCTACCAGTTTCTCAAAAGGTTAAACATAGTTATCACATGACTCAGTAATTTCAACTCCACTTATATTCTGGGGAAAATTAAAATATATATTCACATAAAGTTATATCTAACAGAAATTAAAACATATTCACATAGAAACATGAATGTTCATAGAATTAATTTTTCCAAAACATAGAAACAACCCAAATGTCTGTCAAATGATGAACTGAGAAATAAAATATGACCTATTCACATAATATTACTTGGCAGTAAAAGAAATAAAATGCTGATACATACTTATAACATGGATGAATCTTAAAACACTATGCTAATCTTAAAACACTGTGCTAAGTGAAAGACGTTAGTCACGAATGACTGCATGTTTTCCCAGGAAACGGAACCTTAGTAAAACAGAAAACTTTGGTGGGGAGGCGCGGAGGAGGCGCGGTCGCCACGGGACTCCTGGCAGGGCCCGCACGGGAGAGGCATCTCGGCAGCCGGCGGTCGGCCTGCTACTCGAAGCCCGCGGCGGGGCGGCGGCGGCATGCACGTGTGAGATGCGACCGCGGGCGGCGCGGACGCGAACGGCGGCGGCGGCGGCGGCGGCGGCGGCAAGCGCGGCCTCTTGGGCGCGTGGCGCGCGGTGCCTGAGGGCGGGCGCGTGGGCGCTGGGCAGCCTCGGACCGCGCCACCTGCGCAGGCGCTGGTTCAGGACTCACTCACCTAGCTGAGGCCCGCGGGCCCGTCATGGAGGCGCCCACTGTGGAGACGCCCTCCAACCCTGCGCCCCCCTCGGCCTCGGCCTCGGCCTCGGCCTCGGCCCCGGCCCCGGCCCCGGCCCCGGTTCCGCTGCGCGCCCCGGACGTGGCGCGGCTGCGCGAGGAGCAGGAAAAGGTTGTCACTAACTGCCAAGAGAAAATCCAGCATTGATGTAAGAAAAACAAGAGGATTTAAGAAAAGTGATGAAAAATTTTGAATCAAGAGTTGAATTCACAGAAGATTTGCAGAAAATGAGTGATGCTGCAGGTGATATTGTTGATATAAGAGAATAAATTAAATGTGACTCTGAATTTAAAGCAAAACACCGAATTGCTCATAAACCACATTCCAAACCAAAAACTTCAGATATTTTTGAAGCAGATACTGCAAATGATATGAAATCCAAGGATTTACTTGCTGATGAAGAACTGTGGGCTCGACTTGAAGAACTAGAGAGACAAGAAGAATTGCTGGGTGAACTTGATAGTAAGCCTGATACTGTGATTGCAAATGGAGAAGATACGACATCTTCTGAAGAAGAAAAGGAAGATCATAACACAAATGTGAATGTGATGCATCAAATAACAGACTCTCATACTCCGGACAGTTGTCATAAGGATGTGGCAAGTTCAGAACCATTTAGTGGTCAGTTGAATAGTCAGCTGAACTGTTCAGTGAATGGTTCCAGTTCTTACCACAGTGATGACAATGATGACGATGACGATGACGATGACGACGACGTTGATGATGACGACGATGGTGATAATGACCATGAGGCTTTAGGAGTTGGAGATAATTCTATACCAACAATATATTTTTCTCATACTGTTGAGCCTAAGAGGGTCCGAATAAGTACTGGAAAGAATACCACTTTAATTCAGTGAAAAGAAAGAAGCCAAACGTAAACGAAAGAACAGCACTGGCAGTGGCCACTCTGCCCAGGAGCTGCCGACCATCAGGACGCCTGCTGACATTTACAGAGCCTTTGTTGACGTTGTGAATGGAGAATACGTCCCTCGCAAATCCATTCTGAAGTCTCGAAGTAGAGAATAGTGTGTGTAGTGACACCAGTGAAAGCAGCACTGCTGAATTTGATGAGAGGCGGGGCATTTTGAGGAGTATCAGCTGCGAAGAAGCCACTTGCAGTGACACCAGTGAGAGCATTTTGGAAGAGGAACCACAAGAAAATCATCAGAAGAAACTTCTGCCCTTATCGGGAACACTTGAGGCTTTTTCTGGAACTGTTATAGAAAAAGAATTTGTATCACCTTCCTTAACACCACACCCAGCCATTGCTCATCCTGCGTTACCCACCATTCCAGAACGAAAGGAAGTTCTGTCGGAAGCATCAGAAGAAGCTGGAAAGAGGGTTTCAAAGTTTAAAGCTTCCAGACTGCAGCAGAAAAACTAGGCCCTGTGGAGGAAATGGGAATTTACACCTTAAAACCTAGTTGTTCATTTGTTTAGAATATCTATAGCAAAATAGGTTACATGTAGTTTGAAATAAGGTATCCTGAGTTACTTTGGCAACAAATTCTTTTACCCTTACCAGTGGTATTTGAAAAAAATCAAAGTAACTGTCTGAATATTTTAATATTCACCTTGTTTTGTTAATTCTCTGAATACTGTCAACACTTGTCTGAGTTTGCCTTTATGATGCAGTGGCAGCATTTTGAATTACTTTTCAACAAATACTGTTCAGATGCATTGTTTTTGTGTTTCAGACTAAATACAGGCAGTTTTGTGCCAGCTGTGATATTGTGCATACCATATGGACCCTTTTAAAGAAAATTTTAAAATTTCAAATATATTCAACAATTATATCACTTGCTTTTACATTTTAAAGGCACTTTAAAAAAAATCTACTTCTCTTGTAGGTTTTGCAGCTAGTTGGCTATTTAAGAAACCTCTCCCCTCTGAATGTCATACTGTAATCTTTAAGGCAGAAAACTACATGAGTTAATTGTACTCTATGGGAAAATTTCTTTGGAAGATATTTTGTAAAACTTTTTTGTTTTTTTTTTTCCGAGTAAAAATTTGATAAAAAAAAAAAAGGGGGGGGAATGCTGGGAAGATGGCCGCCTAAGAACAGCTCAGGACTTCAGCTCCCAGTGAAAGTGCAGAGGGTGAGTGGACGCCGCATTTCCAGACGAACTCTTATTGCCCACAGACCAGGAGATACCCAGGCAGAGGGGTCGCCGGCACCTCAGTCCCAGCCCGTGTGGCTGTTTTGGCCCCCGCGGGGCTGATTCCGCCCCCGCGGCTGCTGTGACCACTCCCTGTTGCTACTGTTTTCCGTACAAAAGCCACTGGTCTGGGAGCCCTCTTAGCTGGCGAGCAGAGCCCTGAGACGGCAGAGTTGCCCATTCATCTGAAATAGCGAGTCAGGCCAGGAGATTCCTAGGCAAAAAATCCGCCAGGAGCCGGCGCCGCAGTTCGAGCCGACTCCGTGAGCCGCAGCACAGGAGATCCCGGCGCCTTTTCAGCAGGCGACCGGAACGCGGGGTCCTTCAACTTAAAAGAAAAGACTCTGAGTCAGGGAGCCAGGTGATCAGGCTCGGTTGGTCCCACCCCTCCACCCCCAACAACAACGAAAACAAAAACAGTCATTGGAAACCCTCTGGGTTGAACCCTCCAAACCAAGCACAGCTGAACCAGGACTGTCCAGCTCCGTGGGGGAGGGGCTTCCGCCATTACTGAGACTCTCCACCACTAGGGAGGCAGGCTGCCATTGCTGAGGCAACCCGCCGTTGCCGAGGCAACCTGCCACAACAGAGAGAGTCCGCCATAACAGAGGCGGGGCCACCATTGCCCAGACAGTTCTAACTATGCCCATATAAAAAGGACTACAGGGAAGAGCTCAGGGCAGCTGGGCGGAGCCCACAGCAGCTCAGCAAAGCCCCTGCGGGCAGGCAGTGGCTAGGCCTGCTGCTAGCTGGGCAGATCAGACCTGAAAGAAAAATCAAAAAAGGCAGTAGTGCAACGGAAACTCATAAAGCTCCAACTCCCTGGGACAGAGACAGACAACAGGTGGATAAACCCACAAAAATGGGAAGAAACCAGCGCAAAAAGGATGAAAACTCCCGAAACCAGAACACCTCTCCTCCTAAAAGGGATCACAACTCCTCACCAGCAAGGGAACCAGACCGGATGGAGAAGGAGGGTGATGAAATGACAGAATCAGACTTCAGAAGGTGGGTAGTAAGAAACTACAATGAGATAAAAGAACATGTTCTAACCGAACGCAAAGAAAATAGGAACCTTGAAAAAAGATTGGACGAACTGCTGACGAGAATGGACAGCATAGAGAGGAGTATAAGTGAATTGATGGAGCTGAAAAACGCAACACGAGAACTTCGTGAAGCATGCACAAGCTTCAACAGCCGAATTGACCAAGCAGAAGAAAGGATATCAGAGGTCGAAGATCAACTCAATGAAATAAAAAGAGAAGGTAAGAACAGAGGAAAAAGCACAAAAAGGAATGAACAAAATCTTCAAGAAATGTGGGACTATGTGAAAAGACCTAATCTACGTCTGATAGGTGTACCTGAATGTGATGAAGAGAATGAATCCAAGCTGGAAAATACTCTTCAGGATATTATCCAGGAAAACTTCCCCAACCTAGCAAGGCAGACCAATATTCAAATCCAGGAAATACAGAGAACACCACAAAGATATTCCTCAAGAAGAGCAACCCCAAGGCACATAATCGTCAGATTCACCAGGGTTGAAATGAAAGAGAAAATGCTAAGGGCAGCCAGAGAGAAAGGTCGGGTTACCCACAAAGGGAAGCCCATTAGACTCACAGCAGATCTCTCAGCAGAAACCCTACAAGCCAGAAGAGATTGGGGGCCAATATTCAACATCCTTAAAGAAAAGAACTTTCAACCCAGAATCTCCTATCCAGCCAAACTAAGCTTCATAAGTGAAGGAAAAATAAAATCCTTTGTGAACAAGCAAGCACTCAGAGTTTTCATCACCACCAACCCTGCTCTACAAGAACTCCTGAAAGAGGCTCTACACCTATAAAGGAACAACCAGTACCAGCCACTCCAAAAACACACCAAATGGTAAAAGAGCATCAACACAATCAAGAAGCTGCATCAACTAACCAACAAAACAGCCAGGTAGCATCAAAATGACAGTATCAAATTCACACATAACAATACCCGTATAGCCAAGCCAATCCTAAGCAAAAAGAACAAAGCAGGAGGCATCACACTACCGGACTTCAAACTATACTACAAGGCTACAGTAATCAAAACAGCATGGTACTGGTACCAAAACAGAGATATAGACCAATGGAAGAGAACAGAGGCCTCAGAGGAAATACAACATACCCACAACCATCTGATCTTCGACAAACCTGACAAAAACAAGCAATGGGGAAATGACTCCCTGTTTAATAAATGGTGTTGGGAAAACTGGCTAGCCATGTGCAGAAAGCAGAAACAGGACCCCTTCCTGACACCTTACACCAAAATTAACTCCAGATGGATTAAAGACTTAAACATCAGACCTAATACCATAAAAACCTTAGAAGAAAATCTAGGCAAAATCATTCAGGACATAGGTGTAGGCAAGGACTTCATGACCAAAACGCCAAAAGCAATGGCAACAAAAGCCAAAATAGACAAATGGGACCTAATCAAACTCCGCAGCTTCTGCACGGCACAAGAAACAGTTAGTAGAGTGAATCGGCAACCAACAGAATGGGAAAAAATTTTTGCAGCCTACCCATCTGACAAGGGGCTGATATCCAGAATTTACAAAGAACTAAAGCAGATCTACAAGAAAAAAACAAACAAGCCTATTCAAAAATGGGCGAAGGATATGAACAGATACTTTACAAAAGAAGACATACAGGAGGCCAACAAACATATGAAAAAATGCTCATCATCACTGGTCATCAGAGAAATGCAAATCAAAACCACACTGAGATACCATCTCACACCAATTAGAATGGCGATCATTAAAAAATCGGGAAACAACAGATGCTGGAGAGGATGTGGAGAAATAGGAACACTTTTACACTGTTGGTGGGAATGTAAATTAATTCAACCATTGTGGAAGACAGTGTGGCGATTCCTCAAGGACCTAAAAATAGAAATCCCATTTGACCCAGCAATCCCATTACTGGGTATATATCCAAAGGATTATAAATCATTCTACTACAAGGACACGTGCACACGAATGTTCATTACAGCACTGTTTACAATAGCAAAGACCTGGAACCAACCCAAATGCCCAACGACGATAGACTGGATAGGGAAAATGTGGTACATATACACCATGGAATATTACGCAGCCATCAAAAACGATGAGTTCACGTCCTTTGTAGGGACATGGATGAACCTGGAAACCATCATTCTCAGCAAACTGACACAAGAGCAGAAAATCAAACACCGTATATTCTCACTCATAGGTGGGTGTTGAACAATGAGAACACATGGACACAGGGAGGGGAGCACTACACACTGGGGTCCGTTGGGGGGAAATGGGGGAGGGGCGGGGGGTGGGGAGGTGGGAATAGATAGCATGGGGAGAAATGACAGATACAGGTGAGGGGACGGAAGGCAGCAAACCACACTGCCAAGTGTGTACCTATGCAACAATCTTGCATGTTCATCACATGTACCCCCAAACCTAAAATGCAATTAAAAAAAAAAAAAAAACAGAAAACTTTTAGACAATAACCACTCTACTCTAGCCAAACACCAAAGTAACACTTGTGGCACTACTCAGACTTGTATCAGCAAAGGCCAAGTACGTAGCCTAGACTTCCACCAATGTAAGGCTGACAGAAGGTCAATAGAAAACCACGACAATAGAGAACCACGACTTTTACCCGTACCAGGTCAGCAGTAAGGCTCCTCCAACACACTGCTAGGGTGGTGTCACAGGAGGAATAGTGGAAAGTCAGTACTTTCACCATCACCCAGCAATGAGGCTACCCCACTACAAAGTCAGCAGAAGCCATATATAAAGCCAAAACCCCCAGACATGTCCAACAGTAAAAGAGGTCTTCCCTCACACTGTGAGTCAATAGAGGCTGGGTGGGGAACATTATTCTAGTTCTACTCAGCAGTAACAAGGTGACATCTTTTTCCCCTATGTAAGCAATGTCAGAAACTAAGACAGCTAAAATAGAAAGTTTAAATGAGATTAAGAGTTTAATAAAATACCCCAAATGTCCACATTTCAACAGAAAATCACTCATTTTTCTAAGAACCAGAAAATGTCAAAATGAATGAAGACAGACAATAGATGTCAACATTGAGATAAGAGAGATGTTAGAATTATCTGACAAAGGTTTTGAAACAGTCAGCATAAAATCATTGAATAATCATTTACAGACATGCATGAGAGAAATAAAAAGGTAGAACGCCTCAACAAGGAAACAGATAATAAACAGAAATATTGATCAAAATGGAATGATAAAAGATGTTCAAGTAACACAAAGTAAGGCAAGAAAAGCAAAACAGAAACAAAAAAACACAGAGAAAATAAAAACAAAATGGTAGGCTTAAGTCCTAATCTAAAATTGTATTATAATGGTTAAACTAAGAATATTAATTAAAAGGTAAAAACTGACAGAGTGAATTTAAAACATGACTCAATTTTATGCTGTCTAAAAGAAATTCCCTTCAATTATAATGTCATATGCAGGTTGAAAATGGATTGAAAGACTCAAACACAGTAAAGATGTTATTCCTCTCCAAATTAATATACAAGTTTAATGTCATTCCAACAAATACCCTAGCAATATTTTTTGTAAATATGAACAGGATTATGCTAAGATTTATATGGAAAGACAAAGGAACTTTGGGAATAGCTAAAACAACTTTGAAAAAAATATGTAAGGGCCAGATGCTGTGTCTCACACGTGTATCTCAGCACTTTGGGAGGCCAAGGCAGGAAGACTACTTGAGCCCAGGAGTGCAAGACCAGTGAGGCCCTATCTCTGCAAAACAAATAAATCATAGTGGCACATGCCTATAGTCCTAGCTACATGGGAGACTGAGGTGGAAGAATCTCTTGAGGTGGGCAGATTGAGGATGTAGGAGCCATGACTGCTCCACTGCACTCCAGCCTGGGTGACAGAGCAAGGCCTTATATCAAAAAAAGAAAAAGAAATATAAGAATAAAGTAAAAGAAATCAGTGTATCTGATTTCAAGACTTACAGGTGCAATAATTAAGACTGTGGTATTGACAGAGTGACACAGAGATAAATGAAACAGAACAGAAAACTCAGAAATCGACAAAACCAACATGCCTCACTGATTTTTGACAAATATGCAAAAACAACTCAATGAAGGAAATACAGCCATTTCCACAAATTAAAGTGGACATCCACAGGCAGCAACAAATAAACCTCAATCACAGCCTCATGCCTTATATAAAAATGACTCAAAATGGATCAAGAACTTAAATGTAACACAAAATTTTTATGAATGTCTTCAGAATCTAACAGTAGAAAGTTCTTAGTCTTGACACTAAAAGCATGACCTATGAAAGAAATTAATAAATTTAACTTCATCAAAATTATAAAGTTTTACTCTGTGAAAGACCATGTTTAAGAAGATGAAAAGACAAACTAGAGTGGAAAAAAATATTTCCAACAACACATTCAACAAAGAACTACTAGAATATATTTTAAAAAGCTTTCAAAATTCAACAGTAAAACTACCAACAATTTAATTAGAAAATGGGCTAAAGATATGGAAAGCCTTTTTACTGAAGAGGCAAATAAGCATATGAAAATATGTTCAACATCAATTCCTCAAGGACCTAGAATTAGAAATCCCATTTGACCCAGCAATCCCATTACTGGGTATATATCCAAAGGACTATAAATCGTTCTACTATAAGGACACATGCACACGAATGTTCATTGCAGCATTGTTTACAATAGCAAAGACCTGGAACGAACCCAAATGCCCATCGATGATAGACTGGACAAGGAGAATGTGGCACATATACACCATGGAATATTATACAGCCATAAAAAACAATGAGTTCGTGTCCTTTGTAGGGACATGGATGAAGCTGGAAACCATCATTCTCAGCAACCTGACACAAGAACAGAAAATCAAACACCGCATGTTCTCACTCATAGGTGGGTGTTGAACAATGAGAACACATGGACACAGGGAGGGGAGCACTACACACTGGGGTCTGTCGGGGGGGAAATAAGGGATGGACAGCAGTTGGGTAGAGAGTTGGGGTGAGATAGCATAGGGAGAAATGACAGAAATAGGTGATGGGGAGGAAGGCAGCAAGTCACACTGCCATGTGTGTACTTATGCAACAATCTTGCATGTTCTTCACATGTACCCCCAAACCTAAAATGCAATAAAAAAAAGATTTAAAAAAATTTTTTGACCCCCCGCCCCCCAAAAAAAAGAAAAGAAAATATGTTCAACATCATTAGCTACCAGGGAAATGCAAATTAAAACCATGATGAGATATCTCTACACAACTATCATAATTGCTAAAATAAAAGCACTGACAACACCAAACACTAGTGAAGATGTGGAGAAATTGGATCACTCAGTGCTAAGGAAAATGTAAAATGTTAGAATCAGTCTAGAAAACAGGTTACCAGTTCCTTAAACTCTAAACATATAACTACCATATGACTCAGCAACTGTACTCCCTAAGACATTTTCCCACAGGCAAAAAAACTGTAAGTGAATGTTTGTAGCAGCTTTATTCATAATGGCCAAAATCTGGAAAACACTCTGAAAATAAAACACTCTGAAAATAAATACTCTGAAAATATCTATACCATGCAATAATCTATATCATGAGCAATAAAAAGGAACAAATGATTGATACATGCAACAACCTGGAGGAATCACCAGATAATTATGCTCAGTAAAAAATGCCAACCCTAAAAGATCATATACGTTATAATTTCATTCATATAATATTCTTGAAATGACAAAATTATATAAATGAAGAAAGATTAGTAGTTGCCAGGGCTTAAGCAGTTGGTGAGAACACAAGAGAAATGGGTGTGGCTCTAAAAAGGAAACAGGAAGAAACCTTGTGATGATGAAATTATTCTTTATTTTAATTGTATCAATCAATGTCAAAATCCTAGTGGTGACACTATATTAGTTTTATAAGACAGTACTACCATTGGGGGAAACTAAGAAAAGGTACATAAAATCTGTCTATGTATATATTTTTAATTCTATATTATCTCAAAATAAAAATGTTTAGTTTTTAAAAACGTGACCTCCCCCTTTTTTAAACAAAAGCATGAACCTAAGAAAAGAAGGTTAACAAAGGGCAAAAAAGCAAAGGAGTAGTTCCCTGTTCTCACTTTAATATGATTCTTAACCCTCTTGCAATTAGAAAATCTTTCACATATAAGATTAAATAGAAAATATACTGGGATTCTAAAATAATATAATCACCTTACCAATGTTCCCTGGAAACTTCCTGGCTTCTTATACCATAGTTTGTTGCCTCCCTCTTCACAGACACATAGATGATCCATGAGTCCATTACTATATACAAAACATTTTCCTAACAAAAGATTCAAACAGCCAACAATTATGTCACATAACTGTATTATTTTTACAGATGAACATATAGACATCACAATGAGGAAACTAGAAAATTATGAAAAGAGAAGCAACCTTGAAAAAGATTAATAACCATCTCTACTTTTTAGGATGAAACAGATATAATTAATTTGATTTGCTTAATGCTACTGCAATGCATTCTAAACTCAGAGTTATTAAAAGTAACTGTAGGCTGGGTGCAGTGGCTCATAACTGTAATCCCAGCACTTTGGGAGGCCAAGGCAGGTGGATCACAAGGTCAGGAGTTCAAGACCAGCCTGGCCAAGATGGTGAATCCCCATCTCTACTAAAAATGCAAAAATTAGTTGGGCATGGTGGTAGACACCGGTAATACCAGCTACTTGTGAGGCTGAGGCAGGGGAATAACTTGAACCCGGAAGGCAGAGGTTGCAGTGAGCCGAGATCACACCACTGCACTCTAGCCTGGGCAACAGAGCAAGACTCCAACTTAAAACAAAAAAGTAACTGTAAATTAGTGGACTTTGTTTTCAGAACTGCTGTAAGAAAATGGCTAGGCACAGTCACTGATGCCTATAATCCCAGCACTTTGGGAGGCCAAAGCCAGGGGACTGCTTGAGGCCAGGAGTTTGATTTCAGCCTGGGTTACACAGTAGGCCTCCTTCTCTACAAAAAAATTTTAAAAATTAGCTGGGTGTGGTGGCACATGCCTGTAGTCCCCAGCTACTCAGGAGGCTGAAGTGGGAGGATTACCTGAGCCTAGGAGGTCAAGGCTGCAGTGAACTAAGATCACACAACTGCACTACAGCCTGGGTGACAGAGTGAGACCCAGACTCAAAAAAAAAAAAAAAGAAAAGAAAAAGAGAAAATGTACATAGAAACAACTTCTTTTAAGTTACCTGAAAGAATGAAGAAGAGGGATAAAAGAGGAAAACCCATTTGGAGAAGAAAACATAGATGCATATCTTCTCTATTTGTCCAGAAGAAAAATATGTGGTAGGCAAGGGAAATTCAGACAAAAATATAATTTTTTAAAAAATGTCGTTCTCAATGTACGTAACGCTATGCTTTGTCTCTTTTTCTGTATCTGTACTGCTCAGCCTGGCCATTTGTCACCTTCCACCTAATGTAGTATAACTTTCTCTAATACCAACTTCTTCCCACTTACTGGACGAACTGTTGCCAAAACTGTCTTCTCTGCCCAAAAGTATATAAAAATATGAAACTGTGAATTTTGTAACACTTAAGTCTGAGTGTTTCCTTCTGCTTTTAAGGCTTTAATGTAAATAGGAAATTACCTTTACAACCTCTTTACAATCAATCTATCCTTTCATTCATCTAAAATATCAGGGTTGTTCGTTCCATCTCACTGATCCGCATTCAACACAGCGGCTTTATGTCTGAGCCAAGTTTCTCACAGTCCAAACAGTGTGTTTTCTGCCATTTAAATATGGTTGCAATGCTATTATCTTTATAAACCTATAAAATACTAAGGAATTGCTACTCTTGCTTATCTTACAAAAATAAAAATATATCATTTGTCTCAAATTCTACATAAACTACTATCCAGAAATTAACCAAGCTGTCTGATAAAATAATAAATTTCCAATCACTGTATTCAAGCAACAGCTGCATAATGGTCATGAATGCTCTAACCTGGGCACAACTTTTGGACACAGGAGTAAGCCAGATCCTAAGGTCCCTCACAAATAAAATTCCGCTCTTACCTGTGAGGTATAGATACAAATACATAACTGTCCTCTGCTTTAATTAGTAGAGCTATACAAATGTTATATATTTGTTTTTTTTTTTTTTTTTTTTGGTCTACAACTTATCACATACAACTAAGTAAAAAACAAAAATGTTTTTGTGAGGATAAAAAGGCATCAATCTTAACAAATTAACAAATGAATGTTATGCAAACAAAAATAAACACAGTAACATTTAAAAATCAAACATAACATTTTTAGGGTTATGAGTACACATACCTTTGGGGAGTGGGTTGTTTTGGGCTTGGAGTCTAATTTTAACAACATCCAGGGGTGTCACTATCAAGATATGTAAGTTTCAATTAGCAAGCGCTATCTGTAAATTGGATATATGTTGTACAAAGAACACAAAATACACTGATTCATACTTTTTCTCATAGCTATATAATAGGTAAGCTTATTTATCTTAAAGTCGTCTTGAATGTAACATTCTAATTATTTTGCCCTTGAATTTTGTTAATCAGTGAGAGATTACTTCTCTCATGAATACTGTTATTTGTAATATTCCTACAACTATAATTCCATTAGTATTAAAGTTAACATTTATAAGAAACTATGCTTTCTAAGAAGTAAAATTTCCAAAAGTCTTTGAGAAAAACTTTGTAAAAGTAATCAAGAATCAAATGATACTAGTCTTCCTAATCTGCTAAATTTACCTATATCAAATAAGAGGTACAGGTAATAAAAACTTGAATATACTGGCCATAAAACATCTTTAGTATTAAGTTACGTTATTCTATTTGGGCAAAGCACAGAAAAGGAAAATAGTTTTAATATGCATGCTATATTTTATCCAAGTAGAAACAATATGCCAAATAATGGTTCTAAGAAAACTTTTCCTCATTCTTGAGAATGATGATAATCATATTAGATGATCTCTAAGGACTTTATACCTCTAAAATTCTGACCTGAAAATACTGTATCATAAGAAATTAATTTGTTCTAATCATTTATTTTATTTACATAAGCTAGCCAACTTAAAATCATTAAAATGCTAAACTATCACCTAACTATGTCATTTGGCTACATCTATAAGGAACTGACTATAGAAATAGAAAACTGTGATCCAGAGAAATTTAAGAAACTCCCTGTTAATGGAAAGACTATTTGTAATTGTTGCTAACATAAATTGCTAAAATTCTGTATTATTAATTATCCTAATATTTTCTTCCATCTTCTTGCTTTCTACTATAAAAAGGGAGAATCATAAAAGTTTAATGTTGACAGAGACCCAAAAGAAATCCCAGTATAAGCCCCTAAATTACAGATGAAATAATGAAGTTCAAAGAGAAGGTAGGTACGGTTCCCAAGTATATTCACCTCGAGAATGGCAAAGCAAGGACTAAAAATTCAATTTTTAGAATTTTTTGAATCTCTGTCCAGGGTTTTCATACAATCGTGCTGATGAAACATTCATGAATCACAAATGACAATATAATCATTATTTCACTGATACTAAAACTCAAATGGAAGCACTGACTCACTCACAGTTACATAATCTATATCAGTAACATAATTTTACCTATTAGTGATGTCAATATAGCTCCAGTACAAGAGGCAATCATTTGTTGAAGAGGTGTCACTTTGATAATCTCTGGTCTCCTTGTTTCAGGATCCATATTTTTAACTAATTAACAAAAAACTTGTTAAAAAGAAAATATAAAGTTAGAACATGTCCTTTGATCTTTCAAAAATGGTAACATCCTTTAGCTAAGCTAGGTGAGCAGCAGCAAATTAGTAAAACAGCTAAGAGAGAATTAAGCAAACAGATACTGACCACATAACACAATGAAAGCAGCTGACTAGTAAGTCTCAGAATCTGTGAACTCAGCCTCATAAACACTACTAAGAAATCTTTCCCAATACAGTACAGAGGTATCAATATAGCACTTTATTGTATACTGGCAGTTGTTGAACAAACACAAAATAAAAACACATAAGCTTACTAAGTATCTTACAAAAATCTGATGAGAAAAGCAACACAGAAACATAAAAAAGTTGTAAAAAGTCACATAACACAAAACGGTATAAAAATAACTTATGAATTTATTATTCAAAAATAATCACCAGCAGCCGAGCGTGGTGGTGGCTCACACCTGTTATACCAGCACTTTGGGAGGCCGAGGCAGGTGGATCACAAGGTCAGGAGTTTGAGACCAGCCTGACCAATATGGTGAAACCCTGTCTCTACTAAAATTACAAAAATCAGCCAGGAGTGGTGGTGCGCGCCTATAATCCCAACTACTCAGGAGGCTGACGCAGGCGAATTCCTTGAACCTGGGAAGAAGAGGATGCAGTGAGCAAAGATCTAACCACTGAACTCCAGCCTGGGTGACAGAGTGAGACTCAGTCTCAAAAATAAAGTAAAATAAAATATCAACAGCAATATATGGGTGTCATCTTTCCAAGATGACACATACATAGGTATATGTCTAGACACACACATTATATCTAACTAAATATTGTATATTCATCAAACATATATACACTTACTTGTATGTGTATGTGCAACTTTTCTCAAAAACAAAATAGGCTAATACTATTCTGCTTGTTTCGTAGCCTGCTTTAACACTTAAAAATATATTATAGACATTGTGTCAATAAAAAGATTTACATTTTTAGTGCTTGCACAGTATTTAACTGTATTTAATCAGTTTCATATTGTTAGATACCAGGTTGTTGCCAATTTTTGAACTGTAAAATATTCTGCTATAATACTCTTATACATACATATATATCTTTTTGTCTTCCTACAATTACTTTTGGAAAGAAAGTAAGACTGATGGGATAAACTATTTTGAAACTTTATACAGGGCAGGGCACAGTGGTTCACATCTGCAATCCCAGCACATTGGGAGGCCAGGGTGGGCGGATCACCTGAGATCAGGAGTTTGAGACCAACCTGGTCAAAATAGTGAAACCTCATCTCTACTAAAAATATAAAAAATGAGCAAGCCATGGTGGCGCACACCTGTTGTCCTACTTGGGAGGCTAAGGCACGAGAATCGCTTGAACCCAGGAGGCAGAGGTTGCAATGAGCCAAGATCGAATTACTGTACTCCAGCCTAGGTGACAGAAAGAGGTTCCATCTAAAGTAAAAAAAAAAAAAAAAAAAAAAAAAAAAAAAAGACTTAATACAAATTGCCAGAAAGCTTGGATCAAATTACACTTCCACTGGCAATATAAGAATTCCTATTTATCCATGCCTTATCAAATTCTCTGTCAAATTATATATCATTTATTTTTTTTCTGAACCATTCTAAAGTAGGCTGCATACATCATGCCCCTTCACCATAAATATGTAAGAGTATTACCTTATGCAATCACAATATAATTAACAAATTCAGGAAAATTAATTTTCAACAGTACTCTACAGTTAATATTCCAATTTTGTCAATGATATCGATAATGTCCTTTATAAAAATAAATGGTAATTTTATTGTTTCTTTAGACTTTTATTATCTACCTACCTGGTTTGAGTCTTTTCTTCAACTCTATGCTCCAATATTTTATTTTTTGTAACATCAATAGCCAAAGACCTATAATTAAGAAGAAAGTAACTGTCTTATCTTTTCAAACAGGAAAAGAATAAAAAATCTAAAAGAAAGGAGTAAATAAATACTTTAATACAAAAATCAACAAATAATTAAATCGTTTCTACTAATTGCTTTGAGGAATATAAAGAGCACTCCATAAATGCAAGCATTAGTTATAGAAGCATTTTCACAAAAACATGTTATTCTAGTTAATCTACTCTGCTTTAAAAACAAATAAGCCAATGACTCTAGAGCCCAAATACAGTGATCAATCTTAGTATCATTTACAATAGAACAACCAGATTTTTAAACACAAAATTAAAGGTCTAGCATCATCTATGAAGGTTTTTTTGTTTGTTTGTTTTGAAGGTCGGGGGGCAGGAGAGTGTAAGAGGAGGAATCTTTAATTTGAACTGAAACAAGCAACAAGCTTTAGATCCAACTTCCAAATCACAGGAAATTCAGCAACTAGACTAACGGGATGCCACAAAACAGTAGAAGTTGTACTATTTTAGCCTACAGGACTATTGTCTAGATTTCTTCAAGTCAAAGGTAAGACTTTTTATATATGTAGAGAGACTGCAGTGTAGTTTCATTCCTCTGCTGCTAAGACATACCCGAGACTCAGAAATTTACAGAAAAAAGAGGTTTAGGCCAGGCGCGGTTGCTGAAGCCTGTAATCCCAGCACTTTGGGAGACCGAGGCGGGTGGATCACAAGGTCAAGAGATCGAGACCATCCTGGTCAACATGGTGAAACCCCATCTCTACTAAAAATACAACAAATTAGCTGGGCATGGTGGCATGTGCTTGTAATCCCAGCTACTCAGGAGGCTGAGGCAGGAGAATTGCCTGAACCCAGGAGGCGGAGGTTGTGGTGAGCCGAGATCGCACCATTACACTCCAGCCTGGGTAACAAGAGCGAAACTCCGTCTCGGGGGAAAAAAAAAAAGAAAAAAGACGTTTCATGAATTCATAGTTCCACATGGCTGGGGAGCCCTCACAATCACAGCAGAAGGCAAAAGGTATGTGTCACATGGTGGCAGACAAGAGAAGAGAACTTGTGTAGGGAAACTCCCCTTATAAAACCATCAGATTGTTTGAGAGGTATTCACTATCATGAGAATAGGATGGGAAATACCCCCACGATTCAAGTACCTCTCACCAGGTCTCTCCCACAATACGTGGGAACCATGGAAGCTAAAATTCAAGATGAGGTCTGGGTGGGAAGAGTGTCAAACTGTATCACTTTCCCCTGGCCAAAAAAGATGCTAAACGTCTCTTAACATTTTTATCAGTAGTATATATTGCCTCTTCTGTAGTATGTCCATTTACATCTTTTACCTTCTTTGATGTTAAGACACGTACGGTTTCCTTAATAGTTTAAGGAATCCTTTATTTAAAAAAATACTTAGGAGTGCATGATACAGTATGGTTGTGTCTCCACCCAAACCTCATCTTAAATTTAGTTATCATAATTCCCATGAGTCATGGGAGAGACCCAGTGAGAGGTAATTTAAGCATGGGGAAGTTACTCTCATGATGTTCTCATAATAGTGAGTTCTCACAAGATCTGATGGTTTTATCAGGGGCTTTTCCCCTTTTGTTTGGCACTTCTCCTTGCTGCCACCATGTAAAGAAGGACGTATCTGCTTCCTCTTCCACCATCATTGTAAGTGTACTGAGGCCTCCCCAGCCACACTGAACTGTGAGTCAATTAAATCACTTTCCTTTACAAATTACCCAGTCTCAGGTATTTCTTTATTAGCTGTGTGGAAATGAACTAATCCATTTATTTATTTTTATTGGTACATGTGATAATCTGATACATTCATATAATGTATCAAGATAAAAATCAGAATAATTGGGATATCCATTAAACATTTATCTTTATATTAGGAACATTCAAATTATTATCTTCTAGTTATTTTAAAATGTACAACAGATTATTAACTATGCTTACTCTACCAATTGATCTAACACTAGACCTTATTTCTTCTATCTAACTGAAATTTGTACTCATTCATCTACCTCTCTTCCCAGTTTCTCTGGTACTTACCAATCTACTCTCTATCTTCATGAGATCCACTTTTTTAGCTCTCCATATGAGTGAGAACATGTGATTATTTGTCTTTCTGTGTCTGGCTTATCTCAATTAACATAATGACCTCTAGGTTCATCCATGCCGTCACAAGTGACAGAATTTCTTTCTCTTTATACATATGAATGGTATTGAGGGAATGTGTTATCTTTCAGGGTCCACAAGGGGGCATAGTTTTAAGGGCAAGAACTTCTCAGTGCCATGCCCCCCTCCTATCTCTCTCCATAGGCACGTGAAGAAACTAAGAGTCACTTACCCCAGTGGAAGTTCTAAGTCACTCCTTTCATTGGCCAGAGGAACTTGGGGAGGTGGGAATTTCTCCCAGGATAAATTCCCCTGCTCCTTCACCCACACCGAATTTCCAGCTCTCTGGGATCCCCTCCCACATAGTGGGAGCAATCTTTCCGCTTCTGGATTTCCCCTCTGGGGTCCCACTTCCACATGCTCTTCGTGGCTTCCACCCAGTGTGGAAGCTGCTTTCCTCTCATGGGTTCCATCTTTCTGAATTCTCTCACTCAGTGTGAGAGGAGCTTTCCTTCTCTGGTTTTCCCTCTCTGGGAACCCTGCTCACTCAGTTTGAGAGCGGCTTTTTCTTCTCTCCCTCAGTGTGAGAGCTAGCTGTTTCTTTCTCTCTCCTTCTCCTGTTTCTCTTTCTCTACTTAAATAAATCACTTTCTACAAACACTTTTTAAGTCCGGCATTTACTGCGCACTGCACTGCAGTCTCCCCTCCCATTCTTGGGGAGTGATAAACCAACAACCAGGAAAAATGTCCTCAGAGGAACTAGGGGTTTCCCTAAACCCCAACACAACAGTATTTCATTGTGTATCTACACTACGTTTCTTTATTCATCTGTTGATGGACACTTGGATAGATTTCCTATTGGCAATTGTGAATAACACTGCAATAAACATGGAAATGCAGAGACCTCTTCAATTTCTTTCATCAGTATTTCACAATTTTCCTTGTATATGTCTTTCACTTTTCTGGTTAAAGAAATTATTAGGCATCTTATATTCTTTACAGCTAGTGTAAATGGAGTGGCTTTCTCGATTTCTTTTTCAGATTGTTCACTGTTGGCATATATAAATGCTAACAATTTTTGTATATTGACTTTATATCCTGTGACTTTACTGAATTCATTTATCAGTTCTTAAAAGTTTTCTGGTGGAGTCTTACAGATTTTTCTCAATAAAAGATTACGTCCTCTGCAAACGCTAGTTCGACTTCTTCCTTCTCAATTCCAATGCCCTTTATTTCTTTCTCTTGCCTAATTGTTCTGGCTACAACTCCCAGCACTATGTTGAATAAAGATGAGGAAAATGGGCATCCTTGTCTTGTTCTAGATCTTAGAGAGAGGTTTTCAACTTTTCCCCATTCAGTGTGAAGTTAGCTGTTTTTCACATCTTTATTAGTCAGAAGAATGTTCCTTCTATTATCCTATTTGTTGAGGGTTTTTATCATAAAGAGATGCTGAATATTATTAAATGCATTTTCAGCACCTATTAAAAAGCTCATATGGTTTTTGTTCTTGGTTCTGTTAATGTGATAAATCACGTTTACTGATTTGCATGTGTTAAGCTATCTTTGCATCCCTGGGATGAATTCCACTCAAACATGGGAAATGACCTTTTTAATGTACTGTTGAACGTGGCTTGCAAGTATCAAGCTGAGAATTTTTGCATGTATGTTCACCAGTAATACTGACCTATTGTTTTGCTTGTTGTATCCTTGCCTAGCATTGGTATTAGTATGACATTAGTAGGATGAGTTTGGAAGTATTCCCTCCTCTTCAATTTTTTTTGAAGACTCTGGGTTGAATTGGTATTCATTCTACTTTAAATGTTCAGTAGAATTCCATAGTAAAGTCCTCAGATCCTGGCCTTTTCTTTGATGGGGAACTTTATTTGTGGCTTTAATCTCATTATCCATTCTGCTTTGTTGAGGCTACTTCTTTGTGGTTCAATCTTGGTAAGTTGTAAGAGTCCATAAGTTTTTCCATTTCTTCTAGGTTTGCCAATTTGTTGGTATGTAATTGTTCATAATAGTCTCTGATGAGTTTGTATTTGTGATCTCAGTTATGTTCCCTTTTTTATTTCAGATTTATTTGGATCTTTTTTTCTTAGTCAATCTAAAGGTTTGTCAATTTTATATTTTAAAAAAACTTTTCATTTATCTACTGAATTTTTTTTCCTGTCTCAATTTCACCTATCTGTGCTCCGATCTTCATTACTTCTTTCCTTCTAATAATTTTGGGTTTTGGGTTTAGTTTGTTCTTGCTTTTCCAGTTCCTTGATAAGCTTCGTTAGGTTGTTTGAAGTCATTCTGCTGTTTGGTTATAGGTATTTATTGCTATAAACTTCCCTCTTAGTACCTTTGATATATCCCATAAATTTTAGCATGTTTTTGCTAAAATTTGTTAAAATTTTGCTTTCATTTGTTTAGAGAAATTTTAAAATTTCCTTTGTAATTTCTTCATTGGCCCTTGGTCATTTCAAAACATGCTGGTTTAATAATTCTCCTGTGTCTGTATAGTTTCCAAGGTTCCTCTTGCTTTTCAAAAAATAGTGTTGTTCCATTGTGGTCAGAAAAGACACCTGACGTGATTTCCATTTTTTTTTTTTAAATCTGTTGAGACTTGTTTAATGTCCTAAGATATGATCTATTCTGAAGACTGTTTCATCTGCTGATGAAAATAATGCATATTTTGTAGCAATTCAAATATTCTATAAATGTCAGCTAGGCCTGTGTAGTTTAACTCCAGTGTTTCCTGGTTGGTGTTATGTCTCAATGATCTATCTGTCCATTACTGAGAGGGTGTTATTGAAGCTCCCCACTAATACTGAATTGCAGTCTCTCTCTCCCTTTAGGACTATTTTAAACACTTAATTGATATGCATTAGG